TCGAAGAGTGGTTCCATGCAGTCAGTGTGGAGCGGACTACGGTCCAGCCACCGCCTTGTGTGCGCTTGATTCCCAAATACAGCGTGCTTGTGTTGCTGTGAACATATCAATCGTTTTCCGAGTTTCACATGGTCTGGCATGTCGTTGATTTACAGGAGCTAAACTTATTTCATCTACTTAGTACTTTTTACTTATCTTCACTACACCGGCTTTTACGTATTTGGACATCTCTGCCCCTAGGATACAACGGTTTTTTTAAACAGTGAGTCACCTTCAATCATTTCGTCAGGGCGGAGAGAAGACATTTGTTGGGGTATGTCAAAATTTTGATTGTTCTCCGTCACAAACACAATACGAGCCGAAACCCACAAACGATTATGTACATGGAAAAACAAGCAACACCCATCAAAATATCACGGTCAAGACCAAGGCAACCGAATTCATTGCCTCAAGTATTTCCGTCACCTAGCACAAGTTGATGGGCCTTAGCAACGCCTCGCTGATTGCTAACATTATGGGGTTTTTTGTTGCGCAATAACACTTTGAACGCGGTCCTGGGGGTTCACCTGATGACGGGTTGCCATGGGGTGTTAGGTGATAGATGTGTTGTCTGAAAGACCCCTTTGAACTGGCCGAGACGGTGGGACAAGTGTCATTGAGTGCAAAACTCATGTACACAATAGACGTGGACTCCCTGTTCACAAACGTACTTTTAGGTGAGACGGTCGAACATTTATGTGGTTTTATTCTGAGCCTGAATATGGTTGTGCCTCTACCAGGATATGATTCTAATGTGCACCGAGAACATACGGTTTGAGTTTGAGATGACCGCATACAAACAGGTCGACGGGGTCGCTATGGGCAACCCACTGGGACCAATTTTAGCCAACAACTTCCTCGGATTGATAGAAAGGCAAGTTGCTGCTAGTATTGGTGAGGCGAAATTGTACAGACGGTATGTGGATGACATTCTAGTCTTCACCAGCGAAGAACATTTTACGCGACTGCTGACCATGCTGAATTCGATTAATCGTAATTTATCGGTATCCCATGAAGCGTAACAACACGGCTGCCTGCCGTTTTTGGACATACTCATAAGCAGACGGACTGAAGAGACGCTGGACCGCACTGTCCACCGCAAATAGACCTGGAGTGAACAGTAACTTCATTTTACAAGCTTCGCCCCGGTCGCATACAAACGCGGCTAAGTGAAAGCCCTCTTCTACCAAACTAGACGTATCTGTAGCCAAGAAACGTTATAAGCTGAAGAGTAAATGCCACGCGAGACCTTAATTATTGATGGATATCCTACTGTTCATTTGTTCTCCGAGCTTGGCGGTTTGGTTGCAAACGTTTCATCACCATGCAAGTTTATTCAGATAAACATAGACCACCTAGCAGGAACATACCGGTGCTGCCGGCTGAGAAAGAGGTTATTTGTCCTTGACGTTCAAGGGGGATCACGTGGCAAATGATGTCGAACGCAAGATCCGATCCACCCTAACGCCTCGATTGCTCGATTTCCTACACTCTTAGAATATGCATCGCAGAGTGTTGGTTTCGACATTATGAAAACTCCGAGACCAAGATGGCGACCAATTGTAGAGCACAAAACTAAACTGAGACAACAAATATCTATAGTCGGAAAATTCGGAATCGGAGATGAAACTGTCTGCTATCATAAACTTCAAGAAGTGATTCCAATGCACGGAGAAATCCAACACGAATCTTGTTAATACAAGCAGCTAAGAACCAACTGGAGGCGGCTACCCGATGACCTTGCACCTCTGCTGAAAAAGGATGATGACATTTTTACCAGACTTGCTGCTTTAATCAGCACGATTGTGGCACTAAGTGCCTTCAGACGGGTGTCTGTCGACTGTCGCGTACATCTTCAAATTGAGTCAGCTGACTTAGTTTGACTGTCACAAGGGTGTTAGCTTCATTTTTAAATCCTGACGCGTAGCGCGTCACGCGTCGGCATGTGCTTTGCACCTTTAACGTGCAATGTATCGTCGCAGGACTGGGCCGGCACACCACCGGCTTTAGTTGTCAGCGAAAAGTCACTAAAAGTGGTGGATCGGTTCACCTACCTTGGTAGCCATGTCATCTCCGGTGGTCACTTTACTGAGGAAGTTGCTTCGCTTATCTTCAAGGCGCGTGTGGCATTTCAGATACCCAAATATCTTTGGAAAGGGCGGGATATTAGACTGTTCGTGATAGGTAGTGTATAGCGCTACTTTAAGGCCAGTGTTACTGGATGAATACGAGTGAGGACATTAAACGCCTTCTGTGTTTGACCACCGCTGCTAGCTGAATATTCTTCACATGTGTGGTGGGGACACCGTGTGAGCTATGCCAAAGTCCTCCAGTTGGTTTTTGGCGGAAAATCTTCTGGTGCGCTCACTCAAGTGTATGCTGAACCTTAACCGTTTACGTTGGCTAGGCCATATCCTCCATATGCCCGTTGACTGGCCTCCTTCGCGTGCACTATGTGCTGTGGCTGCACCAATTTGGGCGAAGCAGCAAGGTGGCCAGTCAATAACTTCGCATAATGGGATGCAAAAACTTACTGAGTCGGTCAAGCTGATGCGCGCTGTCTCCGTGGATGGGGCCCCGAGATGGTCCACATCACTGTTTGGAGGCTCTATCAGACACGGTGCAGTTACGTTCCTACATCCGGTTCCTTGGATCTTGTGGTTAGTTTTCATTCCACCCCGATTATTTTAACACACTTTTCCTTATTCTACTTGATTTGCTTTTCGTCCCTTCAACCTCGTTTCCTTCGTTATCTTATTGTTCTTCTGTGGAACCGAGTTGTGGCAACTGGATCCACCGCGTTTCGGTGCAATCAAACGAGATACATGTGTTCGCTAAGGCCTCGTCGTCTTGGTATTCCTCAGCATACCGTCTGTCAGCATGGTGCGACTCTGTTCTACTGATTCTTTTTAGGGTGTTAGTAAATGATGGTACAATCATTCATTTTCTTGCTTGTGCTGACAATTTTGCTGAGTATGCGTTTCCTACTTACCGGAAATTTTCATTTTTTTAATAAATGATTTGTTTACCGTGAGTTTCATCTGCTGCGTTTGAATTTTATCTGAAGAAGAATCTTCTTAACCTTATTATTGTTACGAACGCCTTCCAGCCGATCAAACGATCTAGTCGATGAAACTTATCTCAGCGTTTGCTCTAACCTAACGAGCTACCTTCTCAAGTAATGGGCGATCAGTTTTACCTAGAAACATTGCTAACCTTTTTCGTATGTCTGACAAAGATTATTGAACGTATTGCCAATTTCACTTTCCTGACGGGTCCAAACTTGTAAATATTTTCGGCATTTGTACACCTCTAGCCTAGATGTGGATTTACTCACTTCTGAATCTGGGGTCCAAGTACATAAAAATCATAAACCAACGACATGGCACTTATTGCTGGCAATCCTGTATTAGCAAAAAGCTTGTGTTCTGGGCTCTGAGAACATTGATTGCCTGTGCTTCGTTGATCTGTTGTTGTTGTTGTTGTTGCTGCTGCTGCTGTTGTTGTTGGGTGTCGAGCCAAGTGTGTAGACCACTTCGACATCGAATTCATTGCTCAAGCGTGTGTCACAAGTGCAGTGCGTCACCCATTCCAACTTAAGTTGTACCTTTGGAACTGATTGGATCTGTACGCATGTCAGCTGATGACTGTTCTCGAAGAGATCGGAATCTGTTTTCCGGCGTTTTGGGGAGCGGGGTATATTTCTATTTAATCCAATAATCACTCCATCTATTTTTACCCGTAGGGGCCCCTCAGGGAAGACAACCGCGGTTAGCTTCATGTTGCCTTGACGAGATAGTACTTAATTGTTTGGAAGCTGTTCTTTTTGGGTCCAGTGGTAGGGAGACACTACTTTCATGTGGTTTCCGTTAACCAGAGTTATCCTACTGCGTTCATGTACTGTACTAGTGCGACTAGTTTTTTACTGATACGATTTCACCCCCTTTATTGAGAGCAATCCACTAGCTGTCTTTCTAGAGCATTCCACAGTGAGTATGCGGAGACCAAGTTTATCCGGTATTTCTCGTTGTGTTCCTGCTAACATCACGGGCTTTCGGTACAGCCACTTCGAACTCCCGACCAGCCACTTCCCAAATCAAAAGACAAAGGTCTCGACAGAACCTCGAATTGAGCGTTCTTAATAGTCTAAAGGTGTTTGCTTGCATATCTGAGCAGAAAAGACTTTAGACGAGTTCCGTGCTATCATAAGCTACCAAAGGCTGACAAGTGCTTTATTTGGCTAGCCCCACAGCGAAGGTGCAGTCATTTGTGCACTCTAATGCAAAGGCAGTCTGATTGATTCTCTCTTGACTTTCCAGCCTGTTTGTTTAAGCTCCTGATAAAGCTACCGATATGGAAACGCACTTGAAATGCTTCTATGAACTGGCTTCCTTAACGGTCGGTTCGAGTTCCACTCCTATAGGCCTGTCTTCACCTGATGAGCCCAAACGAGGACAAAAGCGGTCGTCCACTGTTATCGTTGAGAGAGAGCAACACCAGGTCCTCTCATGGTCTGCTTGTTTGATGTTAGTTATTCCGGTCGCTGTTATTTGGTGCTGCGTTAATACACAGACTGCTTTTTGACCCTGGGTAATCGCCACGGTTCCCTTGGGCGCTTTGATCACAGTTACTCAACAGGTCACTCTTTGGAGCTTACTTGGCTGCGGACGAGTACCAGTAGTCGCGTGGCGAAGATTATTTGTGGTCTCCTAGCGTTTCTCAACTGAACAGGGATGACTTGCCTTTGTGGTCTCCGCATGTGCTTTGACTCAGTGTGTCCCTGTGTATCTGGGATGTGCAATATTTATTCCCTCCCTTCTTTTTAATCCCTTTCTGACTACCTTTTTATCTAATGCCTATATACTAACGAAGCACCTTTTTGGTTTAGTCGTTTTACCGGTAATGATGGTGTCCATTCTTGCTAGTTATTTTTGTGAACCTGATGAATAATTACCTTGCAGAAGTCATTGGCGAAAATGTTGCTTTTCGGGAGACGGAGAATATATTTGTGCCGGTTCCATGAAGCAACATTCCATCTACATTTGGGAGAGGAGCAGCGGTACTCTCGTGAAAATCCTGCACGGTCAAAAGGGGGAAACTCTGTTAGATGTTGTCTGGCATCCATTGCGGCCCATCATCGTATCTATCTCTAATTCAGTGACAAAAGAGCAAGTGTCCATCTGGGCTCAGACACAAGTTGTGAGTTCATGGTCCGATCTTTTTGTATTGCGGTGCTCGAGCTAATCCGGTTTGTCCCACAGCTCATCGCAGCTTAAAATGTAGTTGTCATCATGTTGGTGTTGGTCACCCTAGGTTAGTTCACAGATCGGAATTGTGTTCGATAGACAAGACAGTGTCCGGTCTATGTGGTTTCACTCTATCTTTAAAGCTGCCTGTCCGATTTGGACAACCGATATATACGTTTCGGTGTTTTGTCTGGTCACATGCTGTTCGTCTACGTTACACGATTGATGATTGTTATCTTTATGGGCATTGCATTTTTCTACTTGATGATTCATGGCGGTTCATTGCTTCGCATTACTTTTGTCGGTTCAAGATGTTTGCATCGGTATTGCTACATTCCATGCGCTTGTCGATTTACTCATAGACATATGGTTGCCAGATTAAGTAAGCGACACTCTCCTCCATAACCTTGCTATTTTATTCATTAGGAGTCAAACCAGTCTCGAGGCTTCTCACTGAAGATGAATTGGTCTAAGTTTAGTTAATTGATCTCTCCCAGAGTGTCACTTCGGGGACGAAACCGGTTTCAGATAGCTTACTGGCCTCATCTCTCCAATGAATTGCTCTCACAGGTTCCACCTGCTATCGTAATGAAGATGTCAGCTGACAGTGCGTTTCTCTTTACCGACTCTAGTTATCTAAATAAAACCATTGGTGCTACCATATCCCTCGACTATTTCATACTAGCAGTACTCAAGAGGATGCTCGCAACCTTTTTACTAATCGCTGTCATACTGCTGGCACCCGCCAGGACAAAGCTGCTGCTGCTATCCGTTGTTGTCCACTACCCGATTGTCGAACGAGATTCCGGGGTGATGCCAATTTTCACGGGTAATCGACTGGGCTGTTTTCCATTTGCGCCAAGTTTGGAACTGCTGCCTCTCATGTATCGCGGATCAAATATTACCTTGTTCCTTAATTTTAACACTGCGTTTAACCATGTCGAGCGCTCTGTCCAGGGAACATGTGCCCATGTAATGCGTAAGTATGTTATATGCAGTGCGCCACATCATCTCAGGTTGCCTCCGGGAATATGACAAGAATTTTAGCGACCTCTTGAACTCTAGTTGTGTCCACCGAAGTCGTTTCATTTCCCACTCTTCCATTTTTAGCATAAACTCCATCCCAGCATGTTCTATTGTGGTACCTCAAGCTGCGAATATTGAAGTGCTTCCCGGGGGAAAACTTTCTGTTTAAAATTTGCGCGATGATGACTTACCAGTGTTCTGTAATTGATTATGCCCGTAGCATAAAAATATGTCAGGAATGTTTGTCACCCTTTCCGTTTTATTTTCATATGGTAACGGTAGGCCGACTTTAACAGCCATTACCCAAAAGTGAGACAACCCATGTGACGCACCGTGCGCAGTAAGACTTCCATCCAATAATGTGGGCGATCCCAGGAAAACAGTATGAATTATCTGACTCAGCCATTCTCTCAAGTTACTTGAAGGTCTCTCCATCGCTCTTCGCAGAACCTCCCACTGCCTACATTGCACGCTGTTCAGTTTTGACTATAACACCAGAATATATATATATATATATATATATATATATATATATATATATATAGTTTACAAATAAACGTGGAATCATCAAAAACCATGGAAATCAAAAGAAGGTACATTTGTCGTAAAACCAAAACCGAACGCAGCACAGAGGTATCCACGGTTTCGTCAGAGGACACGGTACTACCCGGTTTCCCAGGCCGTGTTGCGGGGTCATCATCAACAGCAGTACATCAACCATTGCAACTGATGCTTCGCTGCCATACAACCATGAGGACCTATGAAATAAAGAATAAGAAGAGGGAGAGAAGGGGGACTTACCTGAAAATCTTAATGCCCTAAGCAAACACTCAGGATCAAGGCGCCTACACCTTGTGTAGACAACATTCCGTCACAAACAGCTGGCTATCGTGCAAAGATAAGGCGGCATCGGCGAGACAGCTTCCTTGCGGCTTTCACTGCCACGCGTCATAATCAGCCATTACCCCGCAGATAACTCAGCACCAAACACACTTTAAACCGACAATCCGATTAGGAGACGGTAGCAGACGCGCCACTGGTGTCGGTTGCGAGCCATGTCCTGTAAAGTCTCGAGCCAAGCACAAGGTGAGTCACGTGGACTCCAACCCGGAAGGCGAGACGGACCAACGGCACCCAGTTTGGTTGTCAGTGACTTCATTTCCCGCTGCCAAGTCAACTTCTGTCCACCTCGAGCCTTGCGCCATCCGACACCTGGTAGACTGAACAAGGCCCTCCTAGGTAAGCGGTGACCACGCATGCGTAGCACGTGCCCGAGCCAACGCAACTTATTCAGTGCTATGTGTTGTTCTATGGAGCTAGCATGATCATCACCACCTAGTACTCGCCTACGCACATCATCGTTGCGGACACGCTGGTGCCATCCGACACCAGCAATGCTTCGCAAACAACGATGATCAAAGACTTGAAGGCGCCTCAGATTTTCAGACCGAAGGGGCCAAGTCTCACTACCATACAGCAGAACGGCCCTCACTGTGGCCTTGTATACACGGCCTTTCAGACGGAGGGAAACTCCCTTCTGTCGCCAAAGATGACGCAGGTTCAAGAAGGCAGCTCTGGCCTTTGCAATGCGTGAGCCCACATCAGTTTCTATGCGCCCATCATTGCTGATGCAACTGCGAAGATAAGTGAATTGATCAACCACCTCGAGTTCCTCGTTAGCAAGCGTCAAGGGGTCATCGAGTGGCTGGTGGTCCTGCAGCAACACTTTGCACTTTGAAGGTGCGAAGTGCATACCAAATAAGGGAACCACTCTAGACAAGCTATTCAGGGTTGATTGTGCGGCCTCAACATTGTCGAAAAGCAAGACGATCTCGTCCGCATAATCTAGATCAACTAACCGTTCACCAGGCAGCACTTCAACACCTACATCGTGAGATTCCGCAAGGGGTTGTATTGGATGACACCAGCCAGAGCCTTTATCTACGGAACTAATTCAGCGAATCGTGCCCATTGGGAGCCGGTGACTTTTTGCTGAGTTTATTCGCCTTTCGTTTCGTCGGTTACCATACAGGGACCTAATCCTCCCCACAGTTTCAGCATCGCGTTGCTGGGACACAATATTCCACCAGAGTGAAGCAAGCGGTGGTGGCTTTATTTAGTGGCTAGTCACATCCGCCACACCGCAGGGTTATTAAACAGGCATTTGTAGCTTTTTATAGGGAGAACGCTTGTCGTGCAAACACCCATCACCTCCGAACTATTTGTTGAAATGGGATAAACCCGAACCCCCTAGCTGGCAACACGTGGAGGTTTTCTGGCAAGCCAGCCATGACACCAGTAGCAGTTCACTTGTCCATGACAAATAATTTCATTCGTATTGAAGTTCAGACATATCAACTCTAGGACGCAGTTCTGTGAAGGCGGATAGCTGCACGACTGTTGCCGAATGTACCCCAGTTTACTGATGGGGTCGTGCTCTTTGTCGTTGATTTATGTGAAATCACTGGGCCCCGGTATCACTGACAATTTGCCTAGATCCCACTATGCAAGCCATGTGATACCTTAGATTGGCTACACTTTCGAGCTTTTCCAAGCCCCTTGATCAGCTCGCGATGCTACCCCATCCGAGCTGGATGCCCCATCTAAATCACTGGTGTATATCACGATTATGGTTGCTAGGTTGTTAAGTTACCTAGTTCTAATTGCTCCACATGTGAGGAAAAGCTGACGGTGTTGCCACTATGGTGGTAAACCAAGCCCACGCATCGAATCATCTGTACGGTACACCGGCATACTGCTGGTGCCCATTTTCTTCTTTTTGTACTTCACTGCCACTTATCCATTGGTCTGCACCACACACTGAACGGATTCTCGTTCCATGTTACCGCTTTCACGCCCGTGCATATTTCATGAAATGGATTCCGTAGCCAGTTCTGCACATCGTTACTATCTAGCTCCTAGCTTTTGTTTTAGTACTCAGGCCATTCCCAGTTTTCCTCCTGCTTTCGTTCATTTACGGATCTGCACTTGTACGATTTCTTAGGATATTCCTGAACTTTGATTCTTTTTCATGATATTTCCTGCATTGTTTATGTCTAAATCTGAATTCAATCAAAGCTCAATATCTGCTAATAAGCGACTTGTCACTACGCACTGAAGATGCTACCCCGATTGGTGGTGAAACGTCTGCGATCAAATTGCTCAGCTCGGATAACCAATCAAGATTCTAACCGCGAACCGTAACTACCTGCATTTAGACTTGTTGCAGATGTCTACATCTTATCCTTAAACACACATAGCCTTAATATTTGGACACTGGTTACGACGATGCTTATGGCTGTTTGCTTGTTGTTCTGAAGTCGCCTCCTTCATTTCAGCAAAATTGGTCGGCCTTTGCTCCTGACTTCAAAGAACTCGATGAGAATGTCGAGTATGAGGAACGTGAATCAGAGTTCGACGTAGAAGATGAAGATAAGGATGTAGAGGAACATAAAGGTGGGTAGATTTACTCTGTTCCATAACTGTCTACATCATCATCGTCAATGCGTCAGCGCTCTATAATGTTTCTTTGCGGCTTTCATTGACCCACTTCATAGTCATGATAAGGTAACTGTAACGCGCTTATCTACCCATGAAATTTTTCTACTCTTCGTTTCGTGGTCTAGTCTACAGACCTTGGCCGATCGTTGATGGATATCGACCAGCGTTCACGTGCGCCTCCTTACATTCCCATTGTTAGCGTTGTAGGTGTGTCTGTGTGTGCATGCTAATCCCCGGCACTGGTTCCGTGCGTGTGCCGCTACCGACGACCTTGGATCTCCAACCCTACTCTTCGCCGAACATGACACGTTCAGCCCGGAGCATGTGTCGCACCCCGTCCCCCGTTCACTGGTCGCTCGTTCAAACACCATGTTTATGCGTGCCATTAAACTCTCACCCTGTGATTAGACCTTCCATTGATTGGTCAACGCCATTATTCTTAATACTCGTAGCACTCAAGTGTGGGGACTTGTTCCTTTGATTGTCCGGCGTAGACAACTCGTTCCCTCCTATTGTTTACTGCCGCCTTGTTGTCAACTTGCATACACCGGGATACTGAACAATTGAAGTATGTCCCAATTATCAACTGTATATATTTTATAGTACCGTAGTATTTGTGACCTGACTTGTTTTGATTTCGGGATCTTTGGCTACGCGTTATTCAACGTTCACGGTGTACGCTACAGTAACCCAGCGGGCTAAACGAGCAATCCGTCTAGGAGATAACACTACTTACGCCAGTGGGGAATGTTATGAACGACATATTGCAAGGGCTTCAGTCAGACAGATGATATGTTGCGTGGACTTCGGCCTGGAAGGCGATACTTATCATGAACTCCGATGATCCGCGAGCCTATTCCTCACTAACATGTTTGCCATTGCCCCCCTCCCGAGTATTGATCCATCCTCAACCAGATAACTAAGTGTTCTCCTCGGTAACAGTTGTTGGGTGCACATACGATGTGCTCGCTCCACATCTTGGTTGCCCATTCATGCTTTAGCAGGTTTGCTGCAGCCAGACTTTGCTAGGTAGCAACCACGTACCTGGAAAGACTCTGCACTACCATTTCGTCCTATTGGGACTCGTCAGTAGCGTTATTTGCGAACTCGTACGAGTCAATGGCTTAATTCAGGGAATATTGGTTTACAATGGCAGTTCCCTATTGTTTATTACTTGCTGCGGTAAATCGCTGCCCCTAGCGCGACGATTCAGCTTTGTTGGCCTGACGCACTAATTTTGTCGTTGCTGTCCACTAGTCGTGGCGTCGCTTGTGCTACCGCACATTGGCAGTAAGCTGCGACAGTCTATGCCTCGAAAGCACCTCCGATTTGCAGATCGAGGAAACCAAGTCTCAATCTAGTATAATGGAACAACGTTAACCGTGATACTTCCTATACAGTGTCTTATAGAGTGTGAAAATATTTTTCTAGGAGAGATATTGCCGGCTCATGAAGACAGCTGTAGTTTTCACATTACATGATCTAACGAGATGATGAATCGCTCATCTATCTTCAGATGCTCATCGTTAAGCGTCTGGAGATTAGCAAGTCGCTGGTCATGCAGCATAAAATTAGATCACTCCAGAGCTTTCCTCAAGAGTTGCGTGCCGCTTCGCTATTGCAAAACAGGATAACAATTCCGTGTGTTAAATCTAAGTACCCAGCGATTCATCTCAACACATACCTCGTGAAACTTCACAATAACACACGCCGTGATGCGGTCTGGATTGAAAGTGGATTGAAAATGCGAAGTGGAGCGACCCTGGTGCTCGTTAAAAACGCTACCTTATTTCGCACATTTTGTCTCTGTACTCGATGTCAACAGGGAATCACAGACTGCCCAGTTATGCCCTGTTCGATGCTGCTAGCAGATGCCCCGGCGCTATGTGTTCAGTGGACTCCATATCCTACTAAAATTAGGTATCCTCAGAGCAAGAAAGTGGCGGCTAGGTACACTTAACTTCCCGATAAGTTTGCATAAAAATGGGCTGCGAGTACTTCTCATATACAAGGTCCGTGGAATCCATACACCTATTCCGAATCTAGCGACAACAATTGTTGATACTATACCATTTGAACCGTGCGACAATGTGACATATCTAGGCTCATCGTCGGTTGTCTGTCATGGGAGACCACGCACTTTACGGCAACACGTACTTTAGAGCAGTATTTTCAACTGATGATCTGTGCATAATTACTATGTTCACTGGTCATTAGTTGCGCGCTAAAAATTACGTCCGACCATCCCGCTTTACTGTGCCTCAGACGACCCGGTTGAGCGTCTTCATCCGCAGCCGCTAGAGGCACACCAGATCTGGTCGCACTGTGTCGCGGCGTTCTAAGATGGTTACGTTTGGTATCTCGGGCAGCATCAAGAATATGGTGGCGGGGGCGTATGCTGCGAGTATGTCATCACAGTTCTGTGTTCTAGCTATGGTTGGCTTTGTCAGACGAGCTTCATGCAGTCGGATGATCAGTGGAATCCAGTTAACCTGCAACGATCCAGCCGTTGAAATGAGAGCGATACTACAGCATAGGCTTCGGGCACCTCTTACCACTACCGCCCATTAACTTGTTCTCAAATAGTTCAAAAACTACCTGATGTTCGTGATTTCTAGTTTCGGAGCCAAGCCACGCTTGCTCTTGGGCATCAGCGTTCGAACATGTGCCGCCGCTGGACGGTCTGATATGGAGTTCTTGATGGAGATATAAGACGCTTACGTGTCACAAGCCACTGGATTACTACTGGAATTCGCAGGCAGGGACTCAGTTTTACTCGACGCGCTCGTTACGTTTTTCCGAACGTCATGTGAGCCACTTGTGACTGGTGTATCACCCTTTTGGCGGGTGAATATTCCGTAGATATCCACCCGATTAGTATGAGATTGGTGAGGTGGTGACCACCAGTGGGTTTGCGAGATTGGGCTCGGTTCCCTTCATAGGTTTACTCTGCAAGTGAAACTGCAATCAGTCAGCAATATTAACTCTTAGTTACATACTGAATCTCGCTGATATTTTTGTTTACGAAGCGCGAGATACGCGAATGCGAACTAAAAAACGCAGATCGTATCCAGTGCTTAGTACCCACAGCTTGCAATCGGTGCTCGAATTTCGAATAGCCTGTAATGTGCTTATTGCGAAACTAAGCGTCAGCTCGATAAACGAAACAGTGCACAACGTCTGAAACATGGGGGGTCCAGCACGAAGCGCTTGCTAACGATAAACGCTCTCTCTCTTGTGGTGGGATGGCGGTGACCGGGTTAATACTTCTTCCTGACTGTGGTTCCGAGTAGTTCAAACTATCTGTCTGTGTATCCATATATTTTCAACTCGAAATGAGCTTTATCCGCCCATATGGGCGCGTTTTCACTACTTCACACTGACACTGCAGATTATAATACAACAAACTTGTTGTAAACGCTCCTTCTTACCTCTGCTCTCTGCCACTCCCAGCCGCGTCAAGGGAAAGAACTCATACAGGCTCTGCACACAAGCCTTCTATTTACAAGTATGAGGAAAAGTACAACTAGCTGTGCTTTTGAAAACTCACTAGCCTACTTGGTCGATCGCCTGATCGACCGCTCTGAGGCAGACGCTTCCTAAATTCAGCTCCGCTTACGTCTCTATTACCTCCCCCTTCAAATTGATTGCTCCTACCTATTTTCCACACTTGGGTTTGATCGTAGCTTTTTACCCTGGGGTTCACTTGTATCCATCGCGATTGTCTTCGATTTGGCCTGCATGACCGCTCGTGCGGCGACCGAGCGACCGGTTGTGTCCTGCTTTAGGGATCAGTTCTGTTTCCCAACCCAAATGCATCCAGCACTATGTCCCACTTTAGTGCTGCTGATTCTTGTGATCTTTGAGTGTTTCCATGCCGCGGTCGTAAATGATTGACGTGTTTGGTCCGCTTGTCCTTTCCGACCATTATCTTATAAATAACCTTACCCGTCTTACCCGTAACCGTTCCGGAAGACTATTTTCCCGAGGTCTGGAAGTTTCATGTGTACACCAAGTCGCCGATCTGGAACTTACGAAGCTTATTATCCTGCTCCTCTCTCGTTTGTCTTTTGCGTTTTCCAACATTTCTGGGGACCAGTCTATGAAATGTCGTTCTAATTTTTCTTCCAAATAGACATTCAGCGGGAGATTTGTGTTTGGATTCGAAGTGTTTCGAGACATTCTCAAAAACGTCTGAATTGCATCTCGTGGCACTCTCGTTCCTTCCGCTTTGAGAAGAGCACGTTTAAAAGTATCTACAAACCGTGCAGCGTGCCCATTCGATTGTGGATGGTACGACGGCCGTTATCCGTAACCAGCATCTCCAGGGTGCCAGAATACTTTAATAGTTTGTTTAGCTCATTGATAGAGTGCTGAGCGGTGGGATTTTGCATCGGAATCACGTCGGGCCATTTTGTATAGGAATCAACAAAAGTCAAATAGGATTGGCCGTTGATTGGTCCCGCATAATCCAAGTGGACTCTCTGCCAGGGCTTCTCCGACTTGGTCCAAGGTTGCCACGGACATTTTGGAGGTGCCTTTGCTGACAAGATTCACAACATTGGCAATACTGTTCGATTTCTAAATCCATATGAGGTCAATACAAAAAATTTCGTGCCAGTGCCTTCATTCGGCTGGTTCCCGGATGTCCTGAATGAAACTGCTATAGTATTCGCTTCAGCAACTTCCTTGGTACCGCGACTCGGTCTCCAAACATTAGGTAATTGTCAGCGACCGAAAGAGATCCGCGTCGATTAAAGAAAGGTCGTAACTCATTCGAAATTCTGACATTAGGCCAACTGGACTGCACAAATACTATCACTTTCAGCAAGATCTCATCTTGAGCCGTCTCTGTACGAATCGTGTCCGAAGGTACTGGCAACTCCCTTACACTGTCAATCAGGATCCGCTGAACTTCCGACTCGAATTTGACAGATGCGATCATGCACTTATCG